ATGAGGATAGGTTTTCCCATTTTTTCTGGCAACAAACAGCTGTGTTAAGGTGTTAAAACACCAAACTGAAACCTTTTACAAGGAATCATGTCTGCAAAAGAGGTCACATGACCCCCCGTAAAGCTTCCAACAGGCTGTTCTGTTGGCGATCACCAAATGAAGGTCGATGCATTTCCATCACCAAGCCCTGACCGCCTTTGTATCCCCGTATGCTGATACTTTAGACATCGCATCATGCATGCACTCACGTATGCCTGAGTCGACTTAGATGAGGCTCAGCACCAGTTCACATTTTTCGGCTCACACCGATGCTGGCTGTGAACGGGACTCGAACCTGGCTCACCGGGTTCGTAGCTGTGCAGTGCTAACCACTGCACCTGCAGCTCTGGGTCAACAAAACAAAGATCCCCCGTATAGCCTTGACTAAGCTGTCGGGGCAAGTGCTTAGCGAGTAGCACCTACGAAGGCCAACAGCGCAGGAGGGTGCTGGTGTGGCCAGAACCAGGCCCGGCCGCATTTGTCTCCCCAATACTGCTGCTTACACACAGCACCAGCAATTAAGTTAAGGCTGAGTCGACCTAGGGGAGACCCAATCCCGGTTCAGATAATCGTCACTGGTGTTGGCTGTGAGCGGGAATCGAACCTGGATTGCCGGCTTGGTAGCGCCAAGCGCTGGGTCAACACATACACACACGTGTACCCACACACACAAAACAACAACCGCCATTCGCCACTAAGTGGCGGTGACGTCTCCACGAGGCGAGGTGCACCTTGAGGCCACGTGAAGTGTCGAACGCCCACTGGCAGGTCACGGGGCAGACCCAGGTGCCACGGGTCGACTGACTGAGATGACTGGCTGATGCACCACCTGTGCCCCCTACTGTGCCAACTTACTGTGCTTTAGCCACCCGGCGCTCCGCTCATTGCTGTGAGCGTCGCTCCTCCCCCCTCCGTTGTTGTTCGAGGGTGACTGCCTCCAACTGTCCAGTAGCGTCCTTCACGAGCCTCCTCCGCCGCTGGTACCAGTCATCGGCAAGTCCACTCAGCCTCACATCCTCCTGTACCACATCACTCCATCTTTTCTCTAGCCCGTGCCGCGCCCGTTTAGCCTCCTCGATCCGGCCGAACAAAAGCTGTTTAGGCATGCGGTGGCTGGGCATGTGGGCTACGTGACCCAGCCAACGCAGCCTTGCCTGCCGGAGGAGCTCATCGATTGGACTTTGTCCAGATCTTTCAAGGATATGTGAGCTCCTCACACACACGTGTACCCACACACACACATACGATCACAGGTCAGCTTAGCTGAAAGGTAATTCATTAGCATTACAATTACCGCATCAATTCCCCAACCTAATTACAATTAATTTGAAAAAAAAAATGAAATTGATTTCCATTCTTTCCATTTTGGCGAAAGAGCAGCTGCCTCCGACAAATTTGAATTACGATTGAAATTACTTGAAACCCTTAATTAATTGTGCTCGTGGTTACACCTGCGTTCAGAAACGGTCATTTAATACGGCCAAATGTTTCGCAAAGTTTGTGCTAATTGGCCGCGTTTAGTTACACCAGGGTAAATACCATCATCAGCAGCAGGGAGCATCAGCACTTTTACATCTGGATTGAAAACATATTTCTTTAGAACTGCTGTTTGTGATTAGTTTGTTGTCCTTCCCCCGCACCTCTAATCAGCACGGTTGGCTACGTACAGTGCAACAGAAGTTCAACGTACATCATTTAACAAAAAAATCAAAAACAGCATGCGTACTCTCATCATAAGCAGCAGCAACAACATTGCTACCTCCCGCAGTCTTGTAAGATGCTGCTGCTAAAGGTAACAGCTGCAGCAGCCCCTTTCCCAGGATCTTGAGCGAGATGCAGGTGATTATTTATTTGCTGGACGCTGAAAGAATCCCAACACGCGCGTTGTACCGAGCCACCGTCTCATCACCACCACCATCAGCACCATCAGCACCACCATCACCACCATCATCACCACCATCACCACCACCATCATCACCACCATCACCACCATCATCACCACCACCATCACCACCATCACCACCATCATCACCACCATCATCACCATCATCACCACCATCACCACCATCATCAGCATCACCATCACCACCATCACACCATCACGACCACCATCACCACCATCATCACCATCACCACCATCATCAGCACCGCGCCAACGCCGCGCTGCGTCTGTCAGCACCGCTGTCCCCTCTCCGCACTTGGTCGCTCCACTGACACGTGTCTCACCCCCCCACCCTCCTCCTGCTCCCACTCACCCAATCACCCACCCCCACTCACCTAATCACCCACCCCTCCCCCACCCCTCCCCCACCCTCCTCCTCCCACTCACCAACACCCTCCCCACTCACCCAATCACTCACCCCTCCCAAACAAAGACAAAGCTTCCTCCCCCTGTAGCCGACACCGGGCTGCTAGGGCAAGGTGAGTGGGGAGCGCGTGGCCAACACAAAGCGTTGACGTGGCGAGTGCTTTTACGCCGTTTTTAGAGCACCGGATACACGATGCGAACAAAGAATTAAATCAACGCGCGCGCGCGCGTGCATGTCGGTGTCATGTATGTGTGGGCGGACGTCAGCAACCCCCCCCCCCCCCACGTAGCCACAAGAGTCACGTGACAGCCTCCTGCAGCACGTGCAGCACAAACAACAACAACCACCACCACCGCCAGCACCGCCCGGCACGGCCCGGACGATGTCCCGGTCGTATGTTCAAATCGGCACAAAGACGAAGACCCCCCGTACAGCCTAAACAGACTGTTGGGGCAAGTGCTGTTAGCGAGCGCCTATGGAAGGGCCCGCACGGCACACTGAGGGGGTGGGTGGCCAACACCACGCCCGGCCGCCTTTGTCTCCCTAGTGGCGATGTTTACACACCGCACCTGGTACTCATTTGAGGCCGAGTCGACCTAGGGGATTCCCAGGACCGGTTCAGATAATCGTCACCGCCGGTGTTGACCGTGAACGGGAATCGAACTCGGGTCGCCGCGGTTGGCAGCGCAGCGCAGCGTAGCGCTAACCATTGCGCCACTGCTCCCCGCACGGTGCCACCGCTCTCCACTCGCTCCACTCACCCCACTCGCCCCACTCGCCCCACTCACCCCACTCGCCCCACTCACCCCACTCGCCCCACTCGCCCCACTCACCCAACTCACTCCACTCGCCCCACTCATCCCACTCGCCCCATTCACCTCACTCACCCCACTCACTCCACTCACCCCACTCACCCAACTCACTCCACTCGCCCCACTCATCCCACTCGCCCCATTCACCCCACTCACCCCACTCACTCCACTCACCCCACTCACCCAACTCACTCCACTCGCCCCACTCATCCCACTCGCTCCACTCACCCCACTCGCCCCACTCACCCCACTCACTCCACTCGCCCCACTCACCCCACTCACTCAACTCGCCCCACTCACCCCACTCACCTCACTCACTCCACTCGCCCCACTCACCCCACTCGCCCCACACGCACAGGGCGCGAGGTTCGTGCGCGCGGGAGGGTGGGCGAGAGTGGCTGGGACGATGTGTCTGTGTGCGCGCGTGTGTGTGGAGCGATGGCGCAGCGGTTAGCGCTACGCTGCGCTACGAACCCGGCGACCCGAGTACCGATTTCCCCGCTCACGGCCATCAACACCGGTGACGATTATCTGAACCGGTCTTGGGCCTCCCCTAGGTCGACTCAGCCTTAACTTAGTAGCTGGTGCTGTGCGTAAGCAGCAGTATTGGGGAGTCAAAGGTGCAACTCGCTAACAGCACTTGCCCCAACAGCTTGTTAAGGCTACACGGGGGGGGGATCTTTGTCATTGTGGTCGGGTAATATTCTTCGTTGCGAGGCCCGCGGGTCCCTAGCGGCCCCTGGCGGCCTTTCGTGCGGGCCCACCGAGAATACACAACACGTGACCCCCCCCCCATCAACACCATCATCGTGTTGCTGTCAAACCCCCAATACACAACACGTGACCCCCCCCCCCCCCCATCAACACCATCATCGTGTTGCTGTCAAACCCCCAATACACAACACGTGACCCCCCCCCCCCCATCAACACCATCATCGTGTTGCTGTCAACCCCCCAATACACAACGCGTGAACTCCCCCCCCCATCAACACCATCATCGTGTTGCTGTCAAACCCCCAACGGTTTCAAATGCTGTGGCGTCCCCTCTGACACTGATGATGTCTCCTCGGCGAAAGTGGGGCCAACCCTCCTCTGAAATGTAATGGAGAATACCGTGGTGGTGGCGGTGGTGGGGGGCACGTGTGCAGTGTGCGCGCCTCATTGGGCAATCGATGCGTGGCTCAAAACACAAAGACTACAGCGGCACGCAACAACAACAACCGCCATTCTCCACCGGCGGTGATGTCACCACTACGCTTGTGCCAGGCCAAGTGCACTTTAAGGCCACGTGAAGTGTCGAATACCCGCTGGCATGAGGTCACGGGATAGACCCAGCAGGTGCCATGGCTTGACAGACTGAGATGAATGGCCGATGCCAGTCAACACACACACACACACACAGACACGTGAAGTGTCTAACACTCGCTGGCATGAGGTCACGGGACAGACCCAGCAGGTGCCATGCCTTGACTGAGATGACTGGCCGATGCCAGTCAACACACACACACACACGTGAAGTGTCTAACACCCGCTGGCATGAGGTCACGGGACAGACCCAGCAGGTGCCATGGCTTGACTGAGATGACTGGCCGATGCCAGTCAACACACACACACACACGTGAAGTGTCTAACACCCGCTGGCATGAGGTCACGGAACAGACCTAGCAGGTGCCATGGCTTGACAGACTGAGATGAATGGCCGATGCCAGTCAACACACAGACACGCGCGCGCACGTGGTCGCGTCACCAACTGTGTCTCCTACCTGCCCGCTGTGAGCCCAGTTCACGCACCCCCACCACCACCACCACCAACCCCACGATGTCACGTCCACCGCCGCAGATTCGAGCGTGGCCTACCTGGACGGGCGCAGTCTGCTTTCGCTGCGCTTCGCGAGAAAGACGGAGCGCACCATCAAGGACGTGGTGGCGCTGCACTTCAAGACGGGCGCCAGCGACGGCGTCCTGCTGCACGGGGAGGGCCAACAGGGCGACTACCTTACCCTCGCGCTGCACCGCGGGCGGCTACAGCTGCACATCAACCTCGGTGAGCCGCGGTTCGATCCCTGGCCCTGGCTCTGTCTGGCTCGTTCCTTTCTCCAGGGCTGCCAACCGTTCCGTAGTTGCGCCCCATCCTCTCTCTCTCTCTTTCTCCGTATCCATCCATCATCCCTGTACCCCCCCACCCACTTACACCCCCCCCACTTACTCAAAATCACCCAAACAAACTGTTGGACTTACTCACAAAGTGGTACACATTTTCTCGACCTCCCCCCCATCCCCCGGTGTGATGATGGGCTGAGTCACTACCCCTCCACCACCACCATCCCGTGCCTAACCAGGAATGTGAACTTTCCCGGATTGCGATCCGCTCGCTCTACCGCTGAGCCAGGTGGCCAGACACTCGACAATGCTCGTGACGGGGCCCACGGGCTGACGGCGTTCGGGAGATTTTTGTCCCAGCCACATCCTTGCTCGTCCGCACTGCTTCCGCTGCTTCGCTTGCAGCAGCAGCAGCAAACAACAACAACAAAGAACGCCACACCTGTGAAGTGTAGCCGTCGCGTGGGGCCCACCGGCACATTGGCTCTCTTCCACACACGAGGTTTCATCTTCTTGGTTCTTTCGGTAAAGTCACGTAGAAGGGAAGTAATAAAATAATAAAAATAAAACATAATAAAATAATTCTCACGACGTTTCGGCCACAACGCAAGCAGCCGTCCTCAGGTGAAGACCAGGTCTGTCGGGGCAGCAGCAGCGGCACAGTGCCCGGTGCACGTGCGCGAGAAAGACCCAAGGACGGCAATGGGTGAGATCGCATCCAAGCATGGACGAGGCTCACGCGGGAACAGACGACGAGGATAGCTGGAAACAGAAGTGCAGTAGCGAAGGATTGCCCATGGTGCGGCCAAACCGTCGGATCGAGGATGACTGAATACAAGCAGTAGTAGCAGCAGCAGTAGCAGCAGTAGCAAAAGTAGCAGCAGTAGCAGCAGCAGTAGCAGCAGTAGCAGCAGTAGCAGCAACAGCAGCACCAGCAGCAGCAGTAGCAGCAGCAGTAGCAGCTGTAGCAGCAGCATGAGCAGTAACATCAGCAGTAGCAGCAGCAGTAGCAGCAGTATCAGCAGTAGCAGCAGCAGTTGTAGCAGCAGTATCAGCAGTAGAAGCAGCAACAACAGCAGCAACAGCAGCAGTAGCAGCAGCAGCAGTATTAGCAGCAGTCGCAGTAGCAGCAGTAGCAGCAGCAGTAGCAGTAGTAGCAGCAGCAGTAGCAGCAGTAGCAGCAGCAGTAGCAACAGCAGCAGTAGTAGTAGCAGCAGTAGCAGCAGCAGTAGCAGCAGTAGCAGCAGTAGCAGCAGCAGCAGCAATAACAGCAGCAGCAGCAGTAACAGCAGCCGCGTTTTTTTGTGTTTGAGCAGCACAAAAAGCACCCTTGAGTGGGCAGTGTCCTGCGATGCGATCTTTGGCCAATTCCGTTTAAAATCACCGGTGTTCTTTTTTTGCTCTGCGTGGGAGGCATGCCGAGCACCTGTTTGCTGCATTGATTTTGTGACTCGAGTCCCTCTTCTGTAAAAGAGGCTCCTTTCTTCCCCCCTCCCACTCTCAACAGACTCTCTTCACCTGGTTGTAAATAAGGGGGGAATTGATTGGCTGATTGATTGACTAACACCCACCACTGACATGCCGCGAACCCGAACAGTGACCCTTCCCCGAACACTGATAATACTCCTAACTCTCATCTTACTCCGATGACTTTACCAATGCCCCGATTAAATCAAATAACCCTACCCCATACGCTTACCCCACTACAAACCCTACTCTTCACCTTCCCTCACCGCGAACCCTAAACCCGCTCCTAACACAAACACTGTCATGAACACAAACTCTGCCCCTAATCCTAACCAGGACACTAACCCTAGCCTTACCCTAACCACAACACTACCCCTACCTCTAACGCTACTGTTAACTCTACCCCCACCAGATAACCCTCCTCCTACCACAAACCTTAACCTTAACACTAAAACCCTACCCCAATATTAACTCAAACTCCGAATACTGAACCCCGATTTCAACCCCCTGACCTGTCAGTAGCCCCAGCCCGTAGCACCTAACACCAGCCACGCAACACGCTCCCACCCACGAACCCATCCACGTGTTTAGGGCGCCGCCGTGGCTAGGAGATGTTAACTCCCGCGCCCGGTATACAGGAGGTCATGAGTTCCATCCCGGCCCTGACGCCTGCTGTATTTTTTTGGGAGTTTGCGTGTCTCTCTCTCTCCCCGTGGTCGCGTGGATTTTTCTCCAGGCCCTTCGGCGTTTCCCTCCACATTTAGAATCGACGCCAGCTTTAGAGGATTTGGCTGCGACACATTTCCACGCGACGATGATAAGACACCCCGGTGAGCTATCGTTTGCGATCGCCAGGTCGCTACTGATAAAACAAAAAATCTACGTAGCTCAGCGGAGCCTTACCTGGTAAAATGATTTATAATCAACGTTTTTGTGTTTAGATCGCGTTATTTATAAATGTGTCGTAACCCTCCACCACCCGACACGGCCAATCAGTAAATTGTAAATGTTGTGGCTTCAACACACCGGTGGGCTAAAGCAGTGAACTATTTGTCTTTTGTCAACGTGACACTTTTTTACTGATTGGCCGTGTCGGGTGGTGGAGGGTTACGACACATTTATAAATAACGCGATCTAAACCCAAAAACGTTGATTATGAATAACATTGGTCGCGAAAGCCTACGTGTTAAACTGGTAAAATGACACAAAAATAAGGTTTAGTTTATAATTATTATTTGTTGGTGTGAACCAGATGTAATCAGGTGGGATCAACACCCTCCCTCCCTCCCTCCTGCACCCCCCCCCCACCCCCCACTTGCTCCCCCTCCTTCCCCCAGTCACGCATGTCTGAGCGGAGAGACAGCCCCTCTGACACAAAGTCACCCCCCCCCACCTCCACCCACCCCCCCTCCCCCCTCCAGAGTCGTGTGCGCTCTGCTCGCTCTGCAGACCTCATCAGATGGCACTCGCGATCCGCTTCGTCGCTTTTAACATTTTTTTTTTCTCTGTCTCCTCTCCCGACCCTCGCTCTGAGTTTAATTTCAAAATTCGCTCTCGGCGTCGCGAGACGATGTACGGAGAGAGCGGCGCTCACCGCCCCGCGTGCGACGACTCTCCCGCGCTGAAGGAGACGTCGCACAACTACTCTTTGAGAATCCCTTATCGTCGTCATTATTATTACGACGCGCGTGTTTTATTTTTTTTTATCCGGGCAAGCCTCGCTGCGTCTCATGAGCCTATTTCAGGAGGGTCCCGTCGAGTTTTCGCAGGAGTGGCTTGGGGGCAATGATCGCTGCTTGTTGTGTGCGTGATCCCAGTTGAGTAATTTTCGGCGTCGATTTTTCAAAAGTGTCCAACGCGGGGATCCCCTAACGCCCACTGCGGACACCGCAGCATTAACCAGGGCGGACGGAGGAATCGAACCACGAGCCCCTCGCAACAAAGCGGCGAACCGCAAAGCCGCCCTCCGAGTGACGTCCTTGAGACCTCCCGGCACATCGCGACCTGACGCCGAGTAGACTTTGAAGACGGATGGCACGTCCTACAAGCAAAGGCGGCCAAAGCAGAGTGGCGTCGCGTACCGATGCGGGGAAGCCTCGCCGAGGCCCGGCGCTCGTCTGCAGACCAACACTCTTGGACGTAACGGGGCCAAACTTTTCCCCGTACGGCAGAAGCCTCTGGAGAATCAGCGCGGCGTTGCAGCACTTTGATGAAGAATTAAGACACATTCCTGCGGAGGGAGCTGGTAGGAACGTTGGGTTGCTCGGTCAATGGCCAGGGTCAACGGCGGCGTGGTGTATTCCGCAAATATGCCCGACTGTGAGGGCGGGCACAAGCCGGCGTGAGTAGGTTAAACGTTGAGTTTTATAAGGGTACCACGGGGTGACCAGCCCCACCCTCCCCACCAAGCCCCACCCTCCCCACCCAGCCCCTCCCCACCCAGCCCCTCCCCACCCAGCCCCTCTACACCCTCCCCTCTCCACCCAGCCCCACCCCTACCATTTCTGGATGCACGACGGACGAACTGACGGACACAATAATCCCTTGTGGGCTGGTGTAACCAGGAGGTTCCTACCAGTATGAAGGTGTGACCAACTTATAAGCAGGCACCACAAATGTAATCGCAATAGTTTAGAGTACTGTGTCAATCTACCGCTGTGTGACGGTGTTCGCCACGCTGTGATGATCATGGGAGCTGTTTGACCATACTTCACCACGCTGGTCAGTGCGGGTTATTGAAGCGTAGAACGCAGGACCCGGTCCAGATATCACTCGCCACTGATGCCAGCCGTCGCCGAAAATCTAAGTCGGGTCGCCATGGGTTTCGTAGCGGAGCGCGCTAACCACTGCGCCACCACTCCACCCCGACTCGTAATATATTTTATTCATGGCAAATGTTTACACTTGTTGAAATCTCAGCCAAGGCTGCGCTGTCGGTTCTGTTTCCGCTAATGCGATGATTTATTTAAAATGAAAAATATTTCATATTCGATATCCCCCCCCCCCCCCGTTCGACCCACGCCGCTGGCTCGGGCGTGCGCGAAGGTTAATAAAACAATATCGATTGTTGGACTGCGAGTCCGATGGTGCGAGATGGAGAGTGTGTCCCATTGGAACGGGTCACAGCGCCACGAGTTACGGTTAAACAATTACCCTGGCATGCAGATGCTTGTCGCATTAATCATGACACCAATATGTATTATTAATTAAACATAATAATAAAACCCAAAGCACGCGTTTTATTTAAATAAATAAACCGCCCACTTACAAAATGACCATACTTCACCACGCTGTAAGTGGGCGTTACGTGGCTTTACCGAAAAAACCTAAGAGTATGAATCCTTGCAGTCACGAAATCTTCAAATCTAGAATGAAATCGCTGCTCGAATGAGCGTCGAGGCATCGGTGTTCATTCCCCCCCTTGAACAGCCCAGAGGGCCGCGGCGGAAATTCCACATTCCTCTGGCGGGGAGCCCA